GTGAGTGAGTGAGTGAGTGACTGAGGCCGAGTGACAGTGCTGACAGAAACGGCTGCTGTTTTTAAATAGACTGCTTTCATTGTTGAGTCTGACAGCCGTGCAGAGACTAAACAGTGACACTGCAGAGAAAGCTCTGGATGACTTCTGGACAAAAACACGGTCGCTATAGTTTGCTGTTAGAGGGGAGTGGGAGTGGATGGGCGGTGGGGCTGATGTGAGTGGGACTATGCATCACTCTGTCCATGTTGCTTATTTGTTCACATACCTCTGATGTAATGTAATGTAACACATGGGGAAATTACACATCTCATTGTGTGTTCCAGTATTAAACCAAAGTGCACAGAGTAACCAAAAGAGGAGTTGTTGTATCAGGAGAAATGAATTAGAATTCATGCAGTTCTCCCCATGTTGGTTGCAAACATACACAACTGTATTTGCTGTTGTTTGACATGTATTTAATAACTGAATGGCCGAGAGGAGGAGAAATGGATGGGAGATAGATTAGGATGAATTAGGATGGATGCCTTTTCACTCAGGCTTTCTTAAATTCCTGACGCTCAAAAAGATGTAGTTTGAATAAAGACTTACAACATATTGATGAAAAATCGCCCCAAAATTAAGACAAAAATCATTATTAGTGTCTAAGAAGATGACGGATGTGCACAGTGGAGGCCCCTGCTGGGTAAAATCAGCACTGCACAGAGTGTGATGGTAAACTACATAATGCTAGCTTCATTTTTTATCATGGGAGTCACATATAACTAATATCCTAATGTAATCAACGGGATATTAAGAAATCTAGACGATTAAGTTTCTACAAAAATAACTATTATATATTATATGTTATTAATTATATTATATAGTAGTTATATAGTTGTATGCAACATTAAGGTGTACATGTAGCTTATATCTAAAGCTGCTTTCAGCTTTGGTTGATGGCTGCAACTAACGATTGTTCTACGTATCGATTAATATGCCAATTTATTGTCTCAATAATTGTTTAATTGTTATTTAAAATGTCAGAAAAATACAACTTTTTGTGTCTTAAACAGCAAAAATATCCCCGTCAGCTGCTTTAAACTTTATTGTTGAAGTTGTAAAGCAACATGGAGTCAACACAGACATTAAACATATAATGAAAATATATGGAGAATATTACATAAAACGATGTCCATCAAGTGAGAGAATAACATAAAACCAAACCCAACATCTCCATCATCACCCTCCAGTTTCATTAGCTGACTCATCCTGAGCATTTAACAGTTTAATGGCATTATGAGAGATGAATTAATACTAACCCTGGACCTTCTCTAACTTTTATAAAAGCTCCATTTGTGTTGTACTCTTTCGTATTCTGTGTGGAAACGTCCACAGCTGGAAACAAACCCAGAGCAGGTGCATCGTGTGCACCTCCAGAGCCACCACAAACAATAAAGCAGCACTGTTGGACGTCCACTTTGACTAACAAATTTCCTGTGGGGGTGAAACCCGACATTTACGCATTTACACGCCAGACGGTTACGTAATTCTCTAGATCAACCAATTCTCCTGTGTTTCTCACCTTCTGCTTCTTTATCAATGAATGGATAGATTTGGGTTCAACTGTTTGTTGATGACTGATGATCCCATTCTGCCGCTTTTTTTTAAATGATTACATAGATAGAAAGGGTGTGAGTCAGATCAAGACCAACAGTATTTGTTCTGTGTGTGAAACGTGAGGATTCTTTCTTTAGAGTAGAGTTTCCTGCTGAAGGCGAGAGCTGTGTGTGTGTGTGTGTGTGTGTGTGTGTGTGTGTGTGCGCAGACTGTGT